GGGGTGGAGATCTCAAATCACTTTAGGCCAGAAAAGAATTCTCCTAATCTTCTCCGAACTACTGGCCAAAGTGTTTCCAAGATGGGCGGCATTGACAACACTGCAGAAATGCTTTCAATGTTTCCTGAAGCATCCAGCCTGGAAGACCTTGACTTCTTGCAGACCAGACTCCCGGCTGCACACTTTCAATGCCCACCTTGGGTGCATTTTGGCCAAGTTTGTGGGGAAAGACTTTTTTCAGCCTTCTCCCCACTGCTTCCTGAAAATGTTTTGGCTTTTCTTAGGCCACTTACTTCCTCCTGATGGGGGGCCAATAGTGGAAAAGAAAGAGCTAAGTGGCACTACAGAAGATTTTCTATGCTGCTGGCCTGCCTCGCCTCTTGCCAATGGTTGGGGGAAGCACCTGCTGCAAATATTTTGCCCTTGACTAGCACTGAATCCTCACAATTTGGGAGACTTCAAAATGTATGCCAAGGGGACCTTGATCTCATTGGTTCTTCTGTAATCAAGAGGCTTTGGGTTGGTGTCTCTAGTACACCACCACTGTCCATCACTAAGGACATGTAGTGGACAATACCCAAGCCAATCTCCCTGTCAGCACAAGCAAATGCATCTCTCAGGATGGACAGCTTTAGCAGAGACATACTGCAGCTTCCAAACCTGAATCCTCCTTGAGGCATGACAGAGTGTCATTCAGACTGGGTGGCCATGGTGTGGATGTTGTCAGGAGGGCCTTTAAAGAAGTCCAAAGCAAAGTAACATAGTCATTTTCCTTCACTATTAGAAACAAGTGGATCACACTGCTTTGCAAAGCAGCTTCAATGGGGTGCTGCATACAAAGCTTTGTCAAAGCTTGGCGCAGTCCTATTAAACATATTATTATCTTTATAATGTGAATTCAAGAATAAATAGAGATAAAGTAGCTTGGCTGTAGTGAACCAGCGAACTGATGAGTGAGCTGTCAAGATTTATTGTTCGCTCTTTCAGTGATTACACTGCACTAGAAAAGCAGGGAATGCTTTGATATCTGCTAAATTAAGTCAGGCATATTCAGCTATGACTCTTATTTGGTTCATGGATGCTTTTGCAATTTTGGGTGGGGAATGATGATTGAAGTTTCTTATATTTGTTTCTCAGAAAGAAAGAAAGACCATTCCTGCTCTTTGTTTCTTTCTTCCACGTCCACACACCCTGCTTCACCACAAAGAAGTTTCATGGGAAAAGCCAGCATGGTTTATATGGAGACAATGTAGAAGAGATGGACTGGATGGTGGGTATGTAACATTGTTTAATGATTGGTATAGTGTCTGTTCTCTCCGGATCAAAGAGCTGGGAATTCTTTTCCCTCATACTTTTCTAGAATATATTCAGCAATTTCTTCACCACCCACCATTTTTCCTTTCCATTCCTTTCAGTTGAAGGAAATTTTTCATTCGGCAGCTGAATTCTAAACATTTGTAAATAAAAGTTCACAGTTCCCCATCACTAGTTCCCATTGCTAGAGCTTCATTGTGTTCATTTTTCACCTACATCTGAAATTTCAGTTGACAGATACAAGAATGCTTCTTGTATAATCTTGGGAAAATCTGGTGGCAGGAAAAAGGTAGAACAATGGTCTTGTGAACCTACAGTACATTTGAGTACTCTGTGTGTGTGTGTGTGTGAGAAAGAGAAAGAGAGATATTATATTTTATGTCTAAATGTTTAATATTTTTATATATTTCAAATGTATTTATGTATGAACATGATTTTTTATTGTATTTTAATTGTATTTTAATTAATATTTATTCTTGTTTTACTGTAAATCACCCAGAGTTACTCTTGAGTGAGATGGGCAGCGACTAAATTGGAAATATAAATAAATATAAAATGTATATTTTTATACACAGATTTTCACATATACTTATTTAGTATTGTGTACTGACAGTACATTCCAACCTCTGGCAACAAATGTGGTCTATAATTATATAAAAGCTGTGTTTTGTTTCATTTTAAATGAACTGTTGGGATTGCTCTAATTATGTAGGAAAAATTCTTGCTGCTGTTGACAGAGTGGGATTAAGGAACAACACTTTTACTTATTTTGCTTCTGATCATGGAGGATCTTTGGAAGCTAGAGAAGGAAATACCCAGATCGGTGGTTGGAATGGTAGACTTAAAGGTACGAGAGCTTTACTTCTGTTATCTATGCATTTAGATCACTGCAATGGCTTGAATACGGGCTGTCTTTGAAAAGTATGGAAATGTGAGTTGATGCACAAGATGTCTGTCAACGTGTTGACAGGGGCTGTAATAACCAATTATTATGGCAGAATTGTATTGTTTTTACTGGCATCCTGCCCATTTCGAGTATGCTAATTTTTTTTACCTTTTAAGGGTTCTCATAGGTTGAGATTGGAGTATCTGAAATATCACCTTCCCTAAGACATTATTGGTTTGGAGAAGAACTTAGACAAGTTCCTTCCTGAAACTCCACGACCCCCAATGCTGCTGGTGGTGCTATTCCTTCTCTGCCTAATGTGCTATGGTCCCTTATTGTCTTTTTCTTCTTCTTTTTTTAACAACCTGAAAGTGATCTTCCATCTTATGGCATATGTTGTAAGAAAAAGCCCTGCCTCAGCCAACTGACGCTGCAATCTTGTCCTAGTATTTTCATTGAAGTATTTTGCCAGGTGTGAGGGCGGCAGTGAACTGAATCAACAAATGTAGGTTTGGGTGATTGTTCTGCAGCATTGTGTGACTTGCCTTTCCTGATCTACTACTGTTGCCATCATTTTAGAGCTTGTGACTTCTGGACCAAAACTGGTACATTCCTGGCCCTTGAATTTCACCCATTTATACCTCTCTGAATCCTCGATGAAAAAGGCCTTTTCAGTAATAAGATTCAAGTTGTTGGAATAATAGAATTAACCATGTTTGATCACTTTTGGGCACATAGCAAATATTTTATTTCCTGGGTCTTTTAAGATCTTTAAAATCTTATTTTCCCAAGCCTTAAAATTTACTTCAGCTCACTGGGTGGTTTTTTTGTTTGTTTTCGGTAGTGGTTTGATCTACTACACCACACATGGGATAGATATTTATTTATTTATTTATTTATTTATTTATTTATTTATTTATTTATTCATTCATTCATTCATTCATTCATTCATTCATTTACTTACTTACTTACTTACTTATTAATTAAACTTGTAGCCTGCCTTAATCCCAGGACTCTCAGCAGCTCACAGAGAAAAAAATATACAATAAAATATGGAACATAAATATGGAACAAAGCAAACCCCAAACACAGTAGATGGATTGGAAAAGCCCAGCTTCTTCTGCAAGGCAGGCAATGTCAGAGACAGATGAACCTCTAACAGGAGGTCATTCCAAAGGGTTGGCCCCATCACCGAAAAATGCTTCCGCGCTTTAAATTACACCTAGAACAAATATGAAGCCAATGCAAGGCCTGTTAAAGAGGTGCAATATGTGCCCAGCAGTCCACACCCATGAGCACCCAGGCCATGCCTCAGTGCTGCAATTTCAGGTGCATTCACCCGAGCATTTATGCATTCATGGATTGCAGAGCAGCAACACAAAACATTGATGATGGAAAATAAAATGGAGAAAGCATGGGTTCTCCTAACAGGGAGAATGAAAATTGTGATTGCTTGCCAGTTAAACCACATTGCTCCAGTTAAACTCATTGTCTCTTCTTGGCTTTCATTTCCTTTCACAGAGGAGAGGAAGCAAACTGGTTAGTCATAAAAAAGGCCCCATCTATTCCCCAGAGCAGTGTTTCTCAACCATGGCAACTTTAAGATGGATGGTCTTCAACTTTTGAAGGCAACTTAAGATGGATGGACTTCAACAATATTCAACGAATATTTTTAAAACTTGAAAGAAATGAACAAAATAACCCCCCACTTCCTTTTAAGATCATCATTACAGCTTCATAGCACAATACGACTATTCTTTTAATAATTTCCCAAAAGTTAGTGAATATCTTGGACATATTTTCAGTTTCAGCTTTAGAACAATATGCCTGGTAGTTTTAGAAAGGATAATATGCATTAGTTTCCAACAGAATATGAAGGTTTTTAGAAGACTGTAAAAGCAGATTTTTAAAAAGACTCTTGATCTTTATTCCTTTATTATCCTTTTGTTGTTTAATCCATCATATATTCAGAAGTTATTTAGATCTGGGAAAAACTCTTATCAAGTTCCCAGAAACAAGAAATGGTGATCTATAAAAATGGTGAGTTGTTAATTATCAAGGGTCATAGGTTTCTCACTACTCACATTAAGTACATGAAGCAGGTGGACTATGCAATAAAATCAATCACTTGTACTTTTGACTTCATACAACTAATATCTTTTTCCTGCTGCTACTTTTGATTCAGGTGGAAAAGGCATGGGTGGTTGGGAAGGAGGAATCCGTGTGCCTGGAATAGTTAGATGGCCAGGAAAGATCGCTGCTAATACCATCCTTGATGAACCCACAAGCCTGATGGATATTTTCCCCACAGTGGCTCATTTGGCTGGGGCACCAGTGCCACAAGACAGGTATAAAGTATTGTCCTAAAAGGGATTGAGAGACACTGAAGTTTAGCTAAGAAAAATATGCAAAATATATTAAATATTAGACTGTGAAGGGTTTAATTTGGAAGAGCACAGATGCTGTACGGTGAAACAGCTGGCTCATTTTCTAACATTGTATATATGCAGTGGAAGATGCTTCATCTTTCTAGGACACTACCCATCACAGCTACCAGCATCAGTAAGGCTCCCAGCATGATGTTTTCTATTGTCACATTACCCAATTTGAGGACAAGTAACAATGGAAAATCAAATCCACCAGGTGTGTTGGAGTCTGCTGGCTTCCCAATAAGCTAACATAGTTCTACAGTCATTCTCGTTATCATAGATGAACTGCATGGTTCATACATTTCTTTGTCTTGACATCTCTGTAAATTAGGTATGTCTAAAAAGAGGAGAATTCCACCATTATAAAAACTTGAATATTCTAAATATGAGTAGGCATTCCCTCAGTATTTTAATTTGCATATTGTTGTGTTCAATCACATTCATTGTAAGCTTTATAATCTACATCAACTTCTTCCACAGTTTATAGTCCTCCTTTGAGTAATTACAGCACTACATGTGAAATTGGAAAAAAAAAAAAAAGACATCAAAACTGCTACCAGGAAAAAAGAACGCTGGTTAAAAAAATAATTGTCAATACTGGTATTAATAGACTTTGCATTCCTTTTCTCACCCCTTATAGCCCACCTAATTTTTAAGAAACTCTTCTCTAAGACTTTGCCTTGAACCTTTTGGCAGCCATATCTATCAGGGATAATCCTTTCCTGCCCTTGTTATTCCTTTATGCTAGGATAATTGATGGGAAGAACCTAATAGCTTTACTGCAGGAAGAAGTTCAACACTCAGAGCATGAATTCATGTTTCACTACTGCGGGTCGTATTTACATGCAGTGCGCTGGTACCAGAAAGAGAGTACGTGTAAATTGTCTCCCTTGATTATATGCTGTACATTCCAGATAATATTTGGGTCATATTTGTATGGCTCTTTATATACATAGTTCTTACGATTCTTCTTTTCTCTGTTGGTTTGTGTGTATGTGTTACAGAGAGAGAGGAAAAATACAACCTCCACTACCTTCTTTTTCCTTGATTTAATCACATGTCATGCCATGTAGCTTCTCTGCCACAATTTGACTTGAAATGCCAATATGATGTTCTTTTGCATATCCCTTTATTTGTAAGAAAGTACCATTAAATACAGCATGATTTACTTTTGACTTAAACATAGATTCGTGCTTGCAGTGTGGCTTGAGCAGTGAAGTTAAGTGTGGCTTGAGCAGTGAAGAGAAAATATCAGACAGCCAAGATTTGTTCCTTAATACTGTCTCTCTTCAATGGGTTGCAGTTATCTTGGGAATCTTTCATTCTACAGATTTACTTTGTGGTTCAGCAAAATTGAAAAATCAGTAAGGTTTAACTTAGTTTCTTCAAGCCCCTCCCCCCCCCCAAAATACAGTTTAAAAAGAAAGGATCATTATTATTCTGGAAATGTATTTTTCAACAGAAGAGAATATATGTAGCACAGGGTTGAATTGTGGAGTCCTTGGTACTCTCTGATTTTGGTTGTTTGCTTGCAGATGTTTCATTATCTAACTAGATAACATCATCAGTGCGAGTGAGTGGGGTTTGCTCCCTGTTTATATACAGTAGCTTACCTTGCCAGTTTTGCGGGCGTGTGGTTTTCTCTTTGGTAGTTCCTTGATTAGGGTATGGTTTTCTGCTTCATTGTCTGTCTGGTGTTAATCCCTGCTTATCTGGGCATTGGCTGCTGGAGAAGCTGAGTTCTGGTCTCTTTGTTTCCTGCTTAGTTTATTTTTTCATTGTCTCTTTTGAATGGTATGTAAATATGGTTTATCTCTATGTGTCTATTGATGGCTGATTTTTCTGAATGCCAAGCTTTCAGGAATTCCCTAGTGTTTTTGGATTTAGCTTGGTCTAGGATGCTCAGTGTCCCGGTTGAAATTACGGTTGAGTCTGTCCATGCGTTGTGAGATTAAGGAGTTTTCATCTGACTGCTGTTGGTGTTCACGGATCCATTCTGCTAATGTTCTGCCTGTCAGTCCCACATAGTGGCTGTTACAGTTCTTACACTGTATGTTGTAGATGACTCCTGTTTTTTCTTCTTGGGCTACTGGGTCTTTTGGTTTACATATTTTGGAGGGCTTTAGTTGGTTTGTGTGCTATGGTGACGTGGTTATAAGAGTCTTTTGGTTGTTTCTGAAATGTTTCTGATGTATGGTAGTATTGTCCTTTTCCTTGCTTGTGTTGGTTATGCTACAGTGGGTTGAGTAGTCAGGCACTTTTTGATAAAGTTATGTGGGTATCCATTTTGTTGGAAGAGGTTGTCTGCAAGCAGTCAAGCTCTGAAAGCACCAAGGACTCCACAGATGTATTTTTATGCCTCATATATGATTAGTTGATTTGTCTCTACAGATTGAAGTCAATTTTGTATTATGTATTTCAAAACCAGGGCAAAAGTATTTTAGTTTTCCATGAGCAGCCCTAAATTATCTCCCCCCCCCCTTTTTGCAATGCTAAAATTTCTGAACAGTGGTATTCTTCAAAGCAACAGAATTGCTAAATGTGCCTATTGCTCGAATTTGAAAATGATCATCATCAGACCTAACTATGTTTAGCCCCACAGCCAAAATTGTGACTGTAATTTTAATTATATTTGGCAATGCTGTTGGAGTTCAAGACCATTCTTACCATAAGGAAATAGCTGCATTTGCAAGCCCGAGGGTTCTGTGCTGCGTGCGATCTTGTTTCGCTGCCTGCGGCCCTGTTCATTGTTGGCTCGCGCTGTTATCAGTGTATAGTTAAAGCTTCCGCTGCGGTTTTCCTGTTTGGCTGGGCGCAGGTGAGCCGTTAATTAGCGGCGCTTTCAGTTCCTCTTTTCCTCGCTAGCTGCCGCCGGTGGAGTTCGCTGGCTACGAGCTTCCCCGAAGCCCCGTGCTAACCGAACCTGACAGAATAGCCTTGGGAAAGACCACAGGTTTATATGCTAGGTACTGAGTATCTTTTTGTTTTCTCCAAGGTGGTGCTCTTTGGAAAGTCCATTATGTAACTCCGAACTTTAAACCACAGGAGGCTGGAGCCTGTTATGGAAATAAAATGTGTCAATGTTTCGGTGATGGAGTCACCCAGCATAACCCTCCTTTGCTTTTTGATCTCTCATGTGATCTTTCAGAAGCCAATCCCTTGTCCCCAACTTCTGAACCACTATTTAATATTGTCATAACTCAAATTGCAAGAGTAGTGGCCAAACATCGTAATACTCTCACACCTGTTCCCCAACAACTTGATGTATACAATGTTGTTTGGAAGTCTTGGCTGCAGCCATGTTGTGGAACATTCCCTTTTTGTTGGTGTAATGATGAAAGCAGTAATGATACCATAATTATTTAAATAGATTTTAAGATAATTATTTTGATAATAAACATGTCTTAAATATTGTCTTCATATTGTTGGTGAGGAATACGGTACTCATAATGTTCCTTTAAAGAGTGAAATAGGATGGCGAATTACAAGCTTATTTTGTCTGTATATTTCATGAATAAACAATGCAGTACTTAACTACATTAAATTATTTGCCTATCCCTTTCTGGATGAGACAACTGCTTCCCTTGAGACATTCCAAACTGTAACATCGTTTCTTCCTTTCTCTCTAATGGATCACCTCCTTAGCAAATGTAGTTTTTACTTTCCAAACACATGCTTGTAGACAGCCAAATATTTCCAAGCAACTTAAATTTTAGTGATCAACTGCAAGGAGGAGGAGGAGGAGGAGATGGAAACATCTCATCTAAGGCAAATGTTTGCTTTCTTTAACATTTTCGCTTCAGATCACTTTATGAATATAGTCCACAAGGGTACATAATCTGACCCTTATGTATTAACAGTGGGCAGAAGTCACCTCTTTAGCATCACTCTGGCTTCTTGCCCCCTCTGACTATCTCTTTACATTCTTTTAATTAAGACAAATAAATATATAGCTGGCATGCTACAAAACCAGGTGCCACCTTCCAGCATAATCTCTGTTTACATGAAACACTTGACTCCTGTATTGTAATGGAAGGAAGGAAAGGTTTCACAATTAAAATAGTGCCAGTACAATAAATTTGATAAACCTTTTTATCAGCAGGCTCTACTGGATATCCAGATGCTATTCATAGTATATTTACTGCTTTCTAATTATTCATGACTATAATCTCTCTACTTTTATAAGGTTCTTAAACCAATATGATGAAAATAGGGCCATGCAAATTTCAAGAATATAAAATGTTTATTTGATAATCTACTGTATTACAAAAATGAAAAAAAATCTGGAAATTAAAAAGTAGAATTTACACCTTTTACTAAATATTTACAAAATCAGAAAGTATCAAACCAAAACTACAAAGAAATAAGTATGGGTGGAAAAACATAAATTATCTAATACTGACATCTCCTCACATGCAAAACTAAACTTCCTCAAGAAACTATTAAAGGAATCTCTGCTTTAGGACTGCAGCCTAAAACAGGGAAGAAATAATCACAATAAAACTTAAGAGAGGGTGCAACAAATATATTTCAAATGTTCTAAAGTTTCATTTTAATTTGGTAATCGTCTAAATGAATACATAAGAGGTTATGTAGTGTTTTAGTGGTTCACTTATGCATAAAGCTTTGAAACAATGATCCTAAGATTCAGTGTTAAAGTTCAAAGATGATATATTCTTAAGTAAAATGAAGGCTATCAAGTTATAATTTCACTATGGATTACCCTCAACAGTAAATAAAAAAATATTTCACATTATCAATCAAAGAAGCCAGTGCACAATGAGAAGAAAGTGGCCCAATTAATCCAATATGACCAAGTTTCTACTACCAACACTGTTATAATGCCCTAACATTGTACCCATGGTGAGCTTCCTGCCATTAATCAGATAAAGTATTCCTTCACCTTCCTGATGAAATGGGCTCTAGTTCACAAAGGCTAATAGTACAATAACACATGACCTAAGAAGTTACAAGCTGCTCTAAGGTTTGGATGTAGCAGATTAATATTGCTAGCCCTCTTCCAAATGTACTGACAGTACAGTTCCCAGAATTCCTGGCCAGTATGGACTTCAGTTAAATTGCAGCTTGATTAATTTACACCAAATAAAAAAGGAAGGCTGGATGAAAATGTAGGAAATGTACAGCCTTCTCTACCAATCCTCTGCTCTTCATGAACAGTTTAGGGGAGGCAAGATTTTACTGAACCTATAAAATCCTCCATACCTGGAGACTATATTTGAATTGTGCCCCTATGTGTGTTTATTAGCGCTGCTGTAACTCTTTGAGTGTTTCACTTTTAAGTCTTTTACTTTCAAGTCTTTTATACCCTCCTCCATACAGAATCAAGTAGGGAGTACGTATTTGATCTGAGTATATAAAACCATTCTTTATTGATTCAGATTAATTTTCCAGTTACAAAATTTACAGGATTCAAGACTGTGGAGGTTATTCCTAAGCTAAATAAGGTTCTGGACAAGTTGAACCAAAGTTTGACTCAGCAAAAGGAAGTTTTAAAAGCACCATGCATTTCATTCTCTGAGACTAAACACTGCCAAATACATATACAGCTGTGCTTGCAAGTACAGTCATATCAGAAAATCTATTTTTGCTTAAATTTCCTTTTCACCAAAGCAAAAGATCTAATCCTGAAGGTTTTGCATGCATTGAAAATGTAAACAGATCAGCTGCAATAAGGATCAAAAAGAACACCTATAATAAAAAGGCATCTAACTTCTTCTTAATGTTTTCAAAAGCATCCTTCCCCAGATAATCAATATGGCCTTCCTCCCATTTTCTTCGTTCATCCGCACTTGATTCCTTTGGCTCTGGTTGAACAGCAACCTCTGCAACAGAGCTGGTAAACTCATTCTAGAAGAACAAATGAAAGGCATCTCAGATATTCAGTGTTACTCTCTTAATAATATTAATAGCTATAGCCAGAAAACTAGATTCAAGCTTTGCATAATGCAAGCAGCTGAATTTGCAGGTCTCTGAGTAACTAAGTCATTTGCAATGCAGGACTACAGAAGCTAAGCTGACTCAAGCAACATCAATAAGAGTACTGGAGTAGAAACAGGCACTGATTCTTCATCACGTGACAAACTTAAGCAAGCCATTCTTTTGACTCTTAACCATCAAATATTCCTCTATGTCTGTAGTGGAACAGCAGAATAAAAAAAATATTCACTGTAAAGGCATATCATAATGTACTGATTTATTTAATTTATTAAATCAATTTATATGGTTGCCCATCTTGTGAACATGATTCTGCAGCTAACAGCACATTAAAATAATAAAAAACAGTATCAACAAAGGATTAAAAAACAAAACAAAAACCTTGAGTGGTCACCAAGGGTAAACCTAGACAAAACAGCCACCAAAAACCTCTCCATGGGCCATACAGCATATATATATGTTTTTAAAAGCATCCTTCCCCAGATAATCAATATGGCCTTCCTCCCATTTTCTTCGTTCATCTGTACTTACTGTTACCAGTGTCTGCTGAGGAACAGGCTGAACAGAGAACTCTGTGAAGGACTTGCTTGGTTCAACAATATCCTCTTCAAGGCTGCACTCAGCTTTCTTTACAGCCTGAATAAAATAAAAATGCAGGCTTTAATTGCACTCTAAGAGGGGAAAAACAACTTTTATTACAGCCCACCTGGATCATGCTCCATACTCCTAAATACTATTATGGTCTAAATATTTTACCTTAATATTGCACTTGCTGACTTCAAGTAATCATAAAAGATAAAAGGAATACTGACAATTAGCCTTCTTTGTTGAAATAAATATTTTTGTATGCCACTGAATAAAGTACAAGAATATCGATCGACTGGTATGCCATGTTCAACAACAAGCACTTCTATTGTTGGAATCTCAGACATGTTCAACTAAAAAATCATTCTTTTTAAAAAGGGCCCTCCAAACCCTAAACATCTTGTGATATGGAACTCAAAAGCACAGATACCATGACTGTAGAATTAGTTTCTCTGGATTTCTATATCTTGTTCAAAGTCCAAGGGGGAGATGGAAGTTGTTTCCAAGTAAAATATGCATACCCCCCATTGTTATTAAGTAAACAAAGAATGCTTTTGTAGTAGAAAGCTACTATTTTTAAAAGGCATTTCATTGGAAGTCATTTCCAACTGCAAACCTAATTCAGTGAGATGGTTTGAAAAGGAAACATCTGTTGTTTTTTAAGAAAAGTTAAACATATACATTAAACTACGCATATTTAATCTGAAAATATACTGATATTTTCAATCTGTGAAAATGACATCTTTACAAACATTTGGAAGCATCTTCCAAATGTCTACAACTATTTAAAATAACAATAATAAAAATACACTCACAATATTATTTTTGGCAGATAACTCACAGGGTGGATTTACAACAGATTCTGAGATACATTCTGCATTTGTTGAGGCTGGCAAAGAATTATTAATAAGAGGATTTTCTCTTTCAGATGTCTGCTCATCATTGTTCATGTTGGGCTGTAACAGAAATTTTTATAAAAATGAAGTTCTTCAAAAGAGAAAATGTCTAAGCTTGTACTGTATTTATTTAAATATTTTACCTCTGTATGTTATTTCTGCTTCTAACTTTATTCATTTATTTACTACAATTTATATGCTGCTCAATCCAAACAAGGCTCTATGCAGATTGCAAAATAATACAGAGATTGCAGTGAAAAATAACATCAAAATATAACAGTAACAACATTCCTATTCATAATCACGCTGAGAAATGGTGCTGTCAGTAAATCACCTAGTGCAAGAATAGCAACCCACTACTTTACCAGTCTCCAAAGGTATTCTGAAATAGTCCATTTTTAATTGCTTTTCTGAATGCCAGCAGGACTGGTGCTGAACTGAATACCTGGAGTGGACCAACTAAATAGGTCCTTTTCCCCTGCAGAGGTCAGAGGCATTGGTCAGCTCTACAGCAATCAATGATCTGACCATAACAATGTTAAAGATGGATACTCCGACATTCTCCTGTACAATTTGCTGGTACAATCTAGAATCCATTGTTCCCTCAGTGATTGTGAGCCATCTGGGTCTTGAGGCTGCAAAGCAACCCCAAACTATAATATTCCCACCACTACATTTCATGATTGGGATGAGGGTTTTATCAGAATGCAGAGTTTAATTTTAGCCAAACATTAATTAATACATTACTGTTGACATGCATTAATGTCAGAACATTCCACTTTTATATCATCTATTTACAGAACATTGTTCCAACAGTCTACTAGACCATCCAGGAAATCTATAGCAAACTTGAAGCAATCTGCTTTCTGGAAAACAAGGTTTCTTCCTTGCATGCACACCACTCTTGTTCACAGTTTTCCTTATAGTGGACTCATGACATTAAACAATGCAAGAGTGGCTTCCAAACTTTCACTGTTACCCTAGGGTTCTTTGTGACCCCCCTCCACAAATATTGTACACTTGTGGTGATTTTTGTTGGTGAACCACTTTTAGGAACAGCAACACTGGTGTTGCATTTTCTCCATTTGTACACCATCTGACATGGCAATGATTTTGTATCCCTTTCAGGCTCATGAACATTAACAGCACATTATTTAAGACCCACAGATATCTCCTGATGGGATCATAATTCACTTCCATTATCCTGTGTCATAAAGAGCAGACTCCAATGGTGGCAGTCAACATATATATATATTTTTAATATGAGAGACCACTCAAACTCACACCTGTCATCTTACTGATTGGAACAATTGATTTAACTTATTCCCTTACGAGTGCTAGTTATCCTAGAACTTCACAAACTTTGAAGCACAACAAAGGCAGTGAGCATTGGCTTGATGTGTTCAGTAAAGATGTGACACAGTACACAAGACCATGCTAGAATGTTACATTAGTTCTGCTTTAAAAGGTATTTATACATGAATGGATGCGCCTCAAATGCCTTGACCAAGAGCTCCTTTTTCCCATTCCATTAGTTCACAATTTCAAAAATGGTACACTACAAGAGACTGTCTTTTGAGAAATTTTCCTAAATCTCCTTCAGGAAACTTAACCATCAGCCTGAAGTGGGCAGGGTAATATGAATAATCTGAAAGGATGCGGGGAGGGAAAGGAGGTATATGGAAAAGAAAGGACAGCCACAGCCACTGCATACATTCAGCTCCTGACATGTTTCTGGACAGCTGACATATGTTTCTGTCATAAATATTTATTCTGGCCTAAAACCATAATAACTATCTTTTTTTCTTTTTGGGGGGGGGGGGTACCCTCAAGTCCATCTTGGCTCTGGCAACTGCCTGGACAAGTCTCTGCAGTTTTCCTGGCAAGAATTTCAGAACTGGTTTGCCCTTGCCTGCTTCCTAGGATTGAGAGAGAAGGACTGGCCCAAGGTCACCCAGCTGGATTTGTGCCTAAGGCAGAACTAGAACTCACGGTCTCCTGGTTCCTAGCCTGGTGCCTTAACCACTACACCAAGCTGGCTCTACTTATTTACTTGTATTTGGGTGGAAGTAAATTCACTGTGTTAAAATGCACATTCATTTTTATAAACAAAAGTTTCAGGACAATGTTAATTCCAATTCTTAATTATAATAAAGTACAAACACTTCTGAAGAACTAAATGTGGTTTATGATTGTTGTAATGTAAGCACCTTCTGAACACAATCTAAGTCAGACCTCATACATAATGATCATCTCTCATATCATTAAGTCAGTCAATCCTTCCTACTAGCCCCAACCCTAACCATTTTACCTCCTCTTGCTGGATTGGAGGCTCTTGCAGTTTTTCCAGTAATGGCAATATACTGGACCTGTATATTATCCACCAAAGTTCTAGGAATGGCAGCTGATTTTCTGATACAGGAGTTGAATCATTCTGTGTAACTGTTCTTGTCTGGGGATTGTACTTGTAGTTCCAGGGCTTTGCTGGTCCCAAAAAATGAATCACCTTCGTATCTTTACCAAAACTGGGGACAAAAAATGTAAAACAATGTTGCTTCAGTTCAATGTCTGGCATAAGACCACCACTTCAATTCTTGACATGCAGGTAGTCCTTGCATAACAACAGTAATTGGGACCAGAATTTCCATTGCTAATGAAATGATCATAAAGTGTGATGTCACATGACTGCATCACTTAGTGATGGCAATTCTGGCAGTCCCCATTGCTGTCGTTAAGCAAGGATTGTAGGTCATTAAGCGAGGACCTCACGTGGCTGCGACTTGCCACTTCCTGTAGGCTTCCAACAAACAAAGTCAATAGAGAAGCTGGCAGGAAGTCGCAAGTCCCAGGCGGCTCGCAAGCAGGCTGGTGGGCAGATAAGTGCTACAGAGTGTGGTTGGGCAGGGGCGGGTGTGTGCTGTGACACCACACTAATGTGGCCAGCAGGGGAAGGGGTGCTACGGCAGTGCTCGAGTGCAGCCGAGTGTGGAGGGGGTGGTGTGACTCAGTGTGAGTGTGGGCGGGGGAGGGGGTGGTGCATCGCAGCACAAGTGTGGGTGGAAGAGGTGGTGCTGCGGCACTGCTTGAGTACAGCCAGGCAAGAGAAGGGATGCTATGAGTGTGGCCAAGTGAGGGAGTGGTGTGGCACTGCGTGACTACAGCCGGGCAAGGGAGGGTGTAGTGCAGTGCTGAGTGAGTGGGGAGGTGGTGCTGCAACACTGCTCAAGTGCAGCCAGGCAGAGGAGGGGTTGGTGCAGTGCTGTGACAGCGTGGCCAAGCAAGGTGTATGCTATGGAGTGCGGGCAGGGGGGTGTTATGAGTGGGCGCTACGGAGTATGAGATCCCTGGGATCTCGTACTCCATAGCAGGCTTCTTGGGAGAAAAAGCGGTAGAAGTGACTTACGGGAGCAACTTGCAACCTTCCCTGCTGGCTTCTCCATTGACTTTGGTTATAGTAAGCTGGCAGGGACAGTCACAAATGGCAGTCATATGATTACAGGATGCTGCAACGATTGTAAGTGTGAGCCAATTACCAAGTGCCTGAATCACAATCACATGACCATGGGGATGCTGCAACGGCTGGAACTTCGAGGACCAGTCATAAGTACCACTCATTCAATGGCTGGAACTTCAAGGACCAGTCATAAGTACCACTCACTCATCACAACTTTGAATAGTCACTGAATAAGTGTTCATTAACCGAGAACTACCTATACAACGTTTTCAACTCTGCAATTATATGACAGCACTTTTAATTAATTAATTAGTACTACTTTTGCCAGCTTTTCAGATTAAAAATATATCCCAGTGGCTTACAACAATTAAAATTCAATACACAATGTAGTACATAAGTGAAAATATGTCAAGTCTTGCCTTTGCGATAAAAAACTGAAAACGAAATCAAGACACGCAACATAAGGAAATAAAGGACGGGGGGAACGAAATCACTTTGCCAATGCCAGTACAAAATGACAAAACGCTGAGGAGGCATTTATAATTAGTTTGTGCCACATTGGTCTTCCTTTGCTAGAGTTCTTTCTGAGATAGACACTGTAACTTTCAAGCATCCTTTGATCCTATGAAGACTGCAAGAGCTAACCTTCAATTTACTTTTGCAGTGTCAGGGCAACAAAGTGTTCTTGCTATAGGAAAAGGGAAAAGCAAGTTCCCCATAAGTATCTTTTTCAGGCCCAAAGCTGGTTTATTTCTCCCTACCATGGTATTCTTCCTTGAAGGTTAAGATACAAGCTTCCGTTAATTAATAAATACAGAAGCCCTGCTCCTGCTCAAAGGGAGATGCAAATCCCTTGGAACTGTTCATTAGAAATTGGAGGCTAAACCAGTTTATGCTGGGAAGAAATGCAAGAGCTGTTAGAAGGTGGGCAAGATAAGGCAGTTTTGCAGAAAGGCGTATGTCAAGGAACTGCATTAACTTGATTTCAGCCACTGCACATTGTTTGATGCCATAATTCATAATGACAGGAAACACTTTACTCAAGCCATTTTAAATACCTAAAGCAGCTGCAAATGTAAACATTTTCCAACACTTCATTCACTACATGGGTGATTGATAACTAGGCTTTATAGGCTCTAGACATTCCAACATAAAGCATAAAGCAAGTTAAAGTACTGGAAGCCTGGTGAAGATTTTGGATTTTCAGGTGATCAAAACGTGGATTGCCTTAGTTGCTTTTATTCTGCATGTACTGTTGTCTAATGAGTAACGATGTTTTAAATTTTGCATTCATGGTGGAAATATTACTGATTCTGGATTACAAAGGCATGATGACTGATACTGATGACTCTGAGCTTTGGTTTCTGTCTAACTGAAGCTTAGAGTCAAATAACTACACAAGGTAAGGAAATATATATTTATGTGTGTGCATGTGTATGTACGATAGACATATAATAGGATACAATGGAAAGAAGAAGCAAAAACAGAATACGCACGAACACACAGACACACACACTTCCTAAGAAGCATCTGAAAGGATTGCTGATAACAAAAGGCCAAGAACCAAGTGTTGGGAAACATGTCAGAATGCAGGACACATTTAAAATTTAAACACATAAATTAAATCTTCCATCGTTAGAGTTAAGACTTAGATGGAAGATATTTGTGTAGTGATTATCAAGAAAAGGGGCTTTATTTTTTTAAAAAAGATATCTAATTAGCACCATAAACCTACTGCTTCTGGCCAAATATTACCTAGCCCAGTATTGTGTTTCTAAAAGCAGAAAACCAGAAAGAGACACGCCTTCATGTCTCAAAGAACCTTGCTTTGCTATTTATCAATATTTGCTTTCAGAGATGGAAACTCTGTTCAAGCATTCATTGGAATATATTGAGAACAAAAACTTGGCAGAGAATGAGGCTGCACAGCAGTCCTGCCTCTCTCCTACCCCAGTGACCGGTCACTGGACTTTTAGAGTTAAATTAATGTTTATCAATGATTATAAAGAATTATTATTTGCTGATTGTTAAGACCAGGCCTCCCTTGATACTACTTGATGGAAACAAGTAGTATTGCACTTTTATCCTGCTTTTGGGCTTCCCATAGACATCTGGTTGATCACGGTAGGAGTCTGAAGTTGGTCTACACAGGTCTTTCATCAAATCCAGCAAGGTTGTTCCTCTGTTCTTATACATGTCATTTCATTAACAACAGATTACTATGACCTGAACATATCTATTAATAGTAATAATACGACAGAAGAAGACAATGTTTTCAGTAGAGCTAATTATATCCTAAAAGTGGTATGTGTCTGAAAGTGCATGTAACTGATATAAAGACAGAAGGTCTGCACCTATCAATTACCATGTGATATGTATGAGGTTAGGGTTCGATGCCAGCTATAAGAAAGAGAAATCTGTGAAAAAAGTGAACTGCTTATCCCTGGATTATCAATAAACAAAAACATTTTAGTACTTACTGCTGGAAAGCAGGAGCATATGTATAGACAGTGCTGCTGCTTAGATTATAGATAAATGGCAAGTGTTTATTAATATCTTTGGTTGCCCAGCTGCTGAAAAAACTGTTTAACAATCCCTGATCACCTCCTAAAGAATAAAAAGAGCATATGGAAAATTCAAACACTTATTAATGGGAACAACAGCCTTTCCCAACCCAGTATTATCCACAGGTATAGACTTCAACACCCATAATATTCCACAGAGTTGCAATCCAACACATACGATGGCAATTGGTTTGAAGAAAAAAGAAGTATGACATCAAAGCTTAGTCTTTAAACCCAGATTAACTATGATGTTGTACAACAATAAATCTAAATTTCTCCATCCAGACACAAGGCATGCCTGGAAACCAAAATCAAATAAATGGTAATAATGTCTAGCTCAATTGTTTGGGAACATACCTATATAAAATACCAAGCACTTTTCATACAAATTAACATGCCCTATCATTTGGCTCTTGATGACAGATAAACTGGCAAAAAAAAAGTTGATCATCTATGAATTATATGTTTGACTTTCATAGGGCTGACTGTCACTACAGTTCATGTTCAGGAAAAAAATATTAGATGTACTGTGGGTCAGAGATTTACACTGTATTGTGTTATTATGCATCACAAATATAATCTTAGTACATAATCTGTAAAAACTTTCCTTTATTATTGTAGAAAACATGATTGGCTGGTCCACCCACTACACTTTTCTCTAAATGGTTGTAATTACAGTCCAATACTTAACTATACTGGGTAGTGTTAATCTTTTAAAAATCAGTATACCCTTAAAATGGTAAAAGCTTAATAACTGTTAATATAATAGTCACATGTATTTGAGAATCTAAAAAATTACATTTGCAAAAAGACAGCAAAACAGCTAAGATAATTGCGTGCATAAATCAATTCCTTGTTCCAACATAGCTCACCTAGTAAAAACAGCAAGACAAGATAAAGATCAAATTTGAGCAAGGTGTGAGCAAAAAGCAAAATCACAAAAGTGAGCAAGATAAATGTATGTTAAAACTTCAATGTGATAAAATTGTTAAAAACACCTTTACATACTGCCATTTCAATATCATTTAAAAATAGTCTGAGAGCTAAAAACTGTAATACAGCTGCCCTCAAAAATATTATTTGTATATAAGAATTCCAAAGTATTCTCCTCCTTCCCTACTCAACTAGCAGTACCCAAACCAGGAATACGTTTAAAAAGTGACACCCGGATAAAAGAAACATGCCACTAGATATAAGAATGGAGGACCTGTATATATAACAATTAATTTTAGCAGCAGCTGCTATTTTGCCTTTGGTTGTTAGAGCCAGCTGGTTCTAGATTTAAATTTCAGGAGAATTTTTTAATGAACTTTCATCAAAATTTCAGATCCTTAAAAGAAGTTTGTCAATAACTTCACGCCAGGGAGAGGACCAGGTCCCGAGACTTACCATCAAAGCTACCATGTTCATTGGCAAATTGAAGGAGATGTTTGAAGGTTTTCAAAGAAGGTTGGAAAACAAAGACACCACTGTTAAAGCAGTCTGGCCAACCGGGATCTGGAGCTGCTGAGAATTCTTCCCGCTCAAAAAGTTCATCAACATTGCAAAGCACCTAGAAAGATCGTGAAAATCTGAATCAGTCAATTCTTGCTATAGATAAGTCAGTGATTCAAGAACCTTTATTGATCCCACTTACTATTCTATCTTCTACTATTAGTGAGTCTGCTTTGGCTCTGCAGCACCAATGTAAACACACTAAGATGTGGGAATGTCTTCATACACTCCTTTAACATAGCAAATACATTCTATCATAGTTTCAGAATCAAACATTCTTCAGCCTTGCATGTTTTTTATAGTTGCATTGTAATTCTAATGAGAGCCAGTTTGGTGTAGTGGTTAAGGCATCAGGCTAAAAACCAGGAGACTGTGAGTTCTAGTCCCGCCTTAGGCACAAAGCCAGCTGGGTGACCTTGGACCAGTCCCTCCCTCTCAGTGCTAGAAAGGAGGCAGTGGCAAATCACTTCCAAATAACCTTGCCAAGAAAACTGCAAGGACTAGTCCAGGCAGTCGCCAGGAGTCAACACTGACTCAAAGGCACCATTTAAAAAAAAAAGTAACTCTACCAACTATGCAGGCTATCGCTTATTTTAGGCAATAATTAGAGATTTGTTTTTCAAGTGTACAGGTATTATTCATACATTTATGTACTCATATTTACAAACTTAAATAAATATATTTTTTCTGAGTCTAAATCTCCTGAGCGCAAGTTCCATAACAAACAGGAAGAAGTTGCCTGCAAGTGAAAAATTTTTTTCACAGTTGATTCTTATGGCAAAATCTTCCAGCTTGTCATTTCTGACACCCCTGCCCTTACCAATGTATCTGCATCCATGAAGACACATTTGCTATACTGAGTAAGAGTCCAGCAATGCAGTTTGGTAAAAGTTACACCCAGTTCCAGCCTCTTCAGCAGAGTCAAGTGCATCAAGTCATTGCTGTCAATTTCTTTAACATCAACCACAGAGTCAAAGATGGTCCTGAGGGCAGCCCTGTCAAAGCAAGTAAAATCATGAATCCTACAGTCTCTCTTTTTATAATATATGCAGTGCAGTAGAGAATTAAAAAAATTGAACTGAAACAACAGCTTAATCTTTAATTATTAAGTAATAACTATACAAGGTAAGCAAATATATATTTATGTTTGTGCATGTGTGTGTACAATAGACATATAATAGGATACAATGGAAATAAGAAGCAAAACACACACACACACACACACACTTCCTAAGATGCATCTGAAAGGACTGCCGATAACAACAGGCCAAGAACCAAGTGTCAGGAAACACGTAAAATCAGAATGCAGGACACATTTAAAATCTAAACACATAAATTAAATCTTCCATCATTAGAGTTAAGACTTCATCAATATTAGCTTTAATTCAAGTGTTTGCATCACTAGCGAAGTGATTTCAAGATGAAAGATATTTGGGTAGTGATTATCAAGAAAAGGGGCTTTTTTTAAAAAAAAGATATCTAATTAGCACCAAATATTACCTCGCCCAGTATCCTATGTCTAAAAGCAGAAAACCAGAAAGAGACACACCTTCATGTCTCAAAGAGCCTTGCTTTGCTATTTATCAATATTTGCTTTCAGAGACAGAAACCCTGTTCAAGCATTCATTGGAATATATTGAGAACAAAAACTTGGCAGAGAATGAAGCTGTGCAGCAGCCCTGCCTCTCTCGTACCCCAGTGACCGGTCACTGGACCTTCAGAATCCCTGGCTTTTGGCTGCTGCTGCTGCTGAGCACCAGGTCAGCCTGTAATTAAGCTTCTCTTCTTATGAGTACTATTATATATATGGAAAGAGAGCGTGACTGACCCAAAGTCACCCAGGTGGTTTTCATGCCTAAGGGAGGCCTAGAACACCAAGTCTCCTTGTTTCTAGGCCAGCACCTTAATCACTACATCAAACTGGCTCTCTTATTTGAGATTTAATTATGGATTAACGGGCTCATCTAATGTGCATTATCAAGGCCTGGATGGGCATGAAGGGGGAGTTTCATTCTTGGAAATTTGCCTGTCTGGATTTCAGGTGCAGCAGTAGCCGAGACTTCAAGACAGGGGTGGGGAAATAGGTACGATCATCTGGGACATTCTAGTGGCTTTCAGATAACTGGATGTGAGACCCTGCTTGCAAAGTTGCGCTCTAGGGATTGGTTGGGATTGTTGCCCCTGTACCAGCCTCCCTACGTTGGGGGTGTGATCTGGATTTTAGGAAGATTACCTTTACTCCCTTGTTATGGACAGATCACTTTCTGGTTGCCTTGCAGTGTTCTAATGCTGCCCTCACCACAGGGAGGTCGGACCTATTTGATCAGTCCACCACATGCCTGATGGACCTAGCAGAATTTCACAGACAACTTGGGGTTTTTCCTGAAGGTCTGGAGTACAGTTCAACTCAAAGCCTTGGTTGCCGCTTGAAAGAGGGAGGCAGCAGCTTGGGATCAAATTGTGCCTATGTGGCCAATCTTTGCTCACAGAGCCCAGAATTCCCCCTGGTTTACAGAGGAACTCCAGATAATGAAACCTGGAGTGCCCCTGGAGTAGGATGAGGAGTGCATCCAACCAAACATGAGTATGAGCCTCTATTAAGGACTACCTTGTGATAATAAGGGTGGCAAAACATTATTTTTCCACCCTTATTGCATCCATCCAGCAGCCTTGCTTAGGGTGACCCTCCTTTGGAAGAATGGAGCCAGAAATGTACTTGCAGGGTTGCTGTGAGGAACATCGTTGCATCTGTTGGATAAAATTGCTCAGATCCACTCCAAGCTGGACTCTGCTTTCTGGCAGACCTCATGGAATTGACTGAGGTGTGGTCTGCCTGTGTTACCAGGATGAGCTTGATCCTGTTGGTCCTGAGGAAGTGGATAGGGCTAGCTGGGGCTTTGCAGGGGATATGTGGCTGGGTCCAGGTGGTGAATTCATCCTTGAGAGAGGGTACTCATGCTTAATGAGGCAATGGTCTATCCTCTCCTTAAAAAACCTTCTCTGGACCCTACCATACTGGACAATTTTCATCCAATATGGTGCTTGTGCTACAGCTTCAGAGAGCCTTGGAGGAAGTGGATCATGTGGACCCTTTCAATCAGGTTTCAGGGCTGGGTATGGATCCTAGACAGCATTGACTGTACGTGTGGATGACCCCTGGTATGAGTGTGATCGGGGTGGTATATTCATCATGGTTCTCCTTGATCTCCCAGTGGCGTTTGATACAAAAATCATGGTATCCTTCCAGATCAGCTTAGGTGGTTGGGGATAGGGGGCAGGGTGTTGCAGTGGTTCTCCTTCCTTCCTTCCAGGACTAGCTGGTGGGCAGTGCTAACAGTGCTAACAGTGCGCAGACATCTAGTCCAGTTCCTCTTCTTTGTTGGGCCCCTCAGGGATCTGTGCTCACACTGTTCCGATTTAACATCTATGTGAAGCTGCTGACTGAAGTCATTTGCCAACATGGGTACCATCAGTACGTTGATGATACTGCCATCAATAGATGCTGCTGGATTTCTTTCTTGGTGCCTGGAGGCTTTAAGTGTCTAGATGGGTAAGAAAAGGCTTCAGCTCAACCCTAACAAGACTAAGTAGCTTTGGGTTTGCTCGCCCACACTCCAGTTTGGTGGTTTTCCATATTTAGTTCTTGATGGGGTAGCACTGCCCAAGACAGAACCGATGCACAATTTGGGAATCCTCCTGGGCTTGCAGCTCCTGTTGGAAAAACAAGTAGCAGCCATGGCCAAGAGGGGTTTTGCACAAATCCATCTTGTGTGCCTAATTAATCCCTTCATGGATCAGAAGGTGCTACTCATGGTCACTCATACCTGGTCACCTCCTAGGTGGAGTTCTGCAATGCACTCTACATGGGTCTGCCTTGAAGGTTACTTGGTTACTGGACCAACAACTGGTCCAGAATGTGGCAGTGTGGGGTGTTTGGGGTATACCTCAGTATATCCAAGTTATACCACTGCTCCATGAGCTGCACTGGCTCCCAGGTACAATTCAAGGTGCTGGTTGTCATGCTGGTTATTTGCAGGACTGCCTGATTCTTTCTACTCATCCCACTAGTTCTGACAGGGTAGGCATGTTCCAGGTCCCCTCTATTAAAGAGTGCCACGTAGTAGGACCCAGGAAGTGTTCTTTCTGTTGTAGCACCTGGTCTCTGGAACACCTAATTCTCTAAGATTCATGGGGTTCTGACTCTGCTAACATTTTGTTAAGTCTATGAAGATCTGAAAGTTCCCTCAGGCATGGGGTCTGGATGTTAGGTGAGCCTGTTACTGTGGTTTTATGCTTTTTGGGATTTAAGTTGGGTTTGTCCTTGACCACTATTATTTCATTATCATGCAGAGATGCAAGAGCAGATCACATCATTTTCTTCCAAGCTTGAGCATTCAGGCACATTCAGAGAGATATCTGAACAGGGGTACAGTGTTCCATTATTTGTCATTCTATTTCTAATGTTTAAAGGTGCCAGGACTTAGACAGCAGAAGCAGAATGGAAGATCTGCCAAATAAAAGGAAACCGTCAAAACAAGGGCTGACTTTTGTCACCGATTCTCTAGTTTGCCCATACGCCATGCTAATTTGAAAACTTCCTTAGTTGCTTTCCCCCACTAAACTTGGTATTTTAGCCTCTTCCAACAGAGGTTGTAAGTAGGAAATGTGTAGAGATAGAAGATTGAACAGAAGTTGAGACATACGATTGTAAGTATTTTTAAAAATGGTATCCAAGGCTATATATTAAAAGAAAAGTTAGGAATTGTTAAGGCTGACAAAACATGTCCAGAGTTACTCTGCGCACCTTACATGTTCTAACCATTATTTGCTTACAGTTCTAGACACAAAATGGTTGAAATATAGGGTCATCGGTAGAAAGCAGCTGAAGGTAATTAAAGCCTTAGGATTTTGATTTCAGCCACAAAAGTTTTAATTACCTTGGCTGGGAATTAAGGTACATATTCAGCAAGCATTTGCTATTTTGTAACCGGATAACAGAATGCAATGGGAGATGTGTCCTTACCTCATTGCCCTGGAGACTTGAGGTGTAATTAGTATTGCCAGTCTTCTAGATGTTCTATAATTTCTCAAGGATTGTCCAAGAACCAGAGCTCCATGGCAATAAACATCATTAGTGGCAAGAGTCACAAAAGCCTGGTCTGTCACTGGAAAAAAAGCATTTGCAGTGACCATTTCATACAGATTTGGCTGGACGACTGCATATCTCATCCCACTATGCAGGACAGGTGCAATTTTAGCAAAAACCCATGGTAGATTTCTTCTAGCAAATAAGATTATTATGTTGGCTATGTGAGCACTGTACAGCATACAGCACTATCCCCCACATTTGTTTTTCCAGAGAAAAATATGGAGAAGTACTGTTGCTGTTTTGGGGGGGCAGTATATACTCTATTTAAACACCGCACTGGTGTCAACATCCTATGAATGAAAAAAATGCTAACACAAGATTTAAGCTTATGCCTCCCTACTAAATATTAAGTATAACACATGATGTGGATTCTGTATACACTTACATGTGCCCAGGCAATTTGATTGTATTGATTATGAGCCAGGCACATTGACTAAACAAACCTTATTCAAATACAGGTTATTATTCAAAATCTCAGAAATGCTGGCATTCCAGACACATATTTCCACAATCTGTGTTTTGCTTGCTGCTAGTCAGAGACTAACAGAGCTCACAGATTCCATATTGTTCTGGACAAAATGGTCCAATTGGGAGAAATGCTAACAAATAAATAAAAGTCTCTGCTGCTGTTCACATACCACTGCTACAAATCTGAATTAAGGAAAACTATACATTCCTCCACTAATTAAACTGAGAGCAATTTTTCTGACAATGAAAGAATTTGGCGTTGCATATCTTATTCTGAGTCACCACCCAGAAAGTTGGGAAAAAAATACTGAAATCTTGAAATTTTACCCATCCTTCTGTATCACATAATATTGGACCATCACCATGATTCTAAATTAAACAGCCCTCTCTTGTTCTTAATAATTTGCCTTTTGTTAAAGCATTCCAATGAAGTTACTTTTCACAGTTCACAATGTACCCATTGGTACCTTGTCTAAGCCACGTTGAGTACACTGTCCAGAGTTCTTCAATACTTTGAAGGATTGGTTTTTATAACTGTCCTTAACTTCTTTCTTGCCCTGTCTTGGAATTTACTTACCATTTTGCTTAGATATTGGATATACAACCTGAACCCTCTACAAAGCTTTTTGTAAACCCCTGATCACAATGCTGTTGCCAACAATGTAACTTAAACTTAAACATGAGATACTGCTAATTAAGATACTGAGAAAATTGTAATTATATTTGATGATTATTTTATTTCAAACTAACTCATTTGAGAGTCTGGGGCCTTAATAATGGTTTAGCCTCCATTTAATCTTTCCAGCAATGTCAACAGAGTTCTGAAATGAAAAAAAAAATGATTGAAAACAGAACAAACATATTTACTCTTTCTGCACAACATGTGTTTTGAGCCATTTGGTTGCACAAATATTCCAAGATTCTAAAGCAGGAAGGCCATGGATAGCCGTGGGTTGGGACAATGATGTGAGAAGCTATTTCATGTAAGTGGATATACCCAGGACCTTTCATCTTTTTCTTGGGGTTTTGGAGAGGCAAAAAAAAATTGGGGATTCCAATGTGGGGGTTTTTTTTGTTTTTGTTTTAGGAAAAAGAGATTAAATTTATTTTAAAGCTACAATTTACATGTGATTTATACTTTAATACTGCCAATTTTCAACTATGTGGCCAAAGGGGGCTTCAAGAGATGCAAAAAAGTACCACCACATGCAAGTTGTAAATTTAACTTTCCACAAGTTAAAGATGAAATCCTTTATATTCCCCTCTTTCTGACACAAATGATTATGTACTATTGCACTATTCATTTTTTAATTTTTAATTTTATTCTTTCTTTTTTAAGATATATTAATTCTATCCCACATCTCCATTTCCCTGGTTGTTGAACTATCCAATCCTCTTATTGTTTCTATTCCTGATTTAGGCTATTAATGGTTAGCAGGCCAACACAGTGTTTAGAATAGCTTTCCATAATCTAGTAATTAGCCTATATCTGTTGGATTACATCTTCCATCATTCTTAGCACTGCCATATAGGTTGAGGATTATGGAAAACATAGTCCACCAGCCATAACAAACAAGCTATTGTCACATTTCAAATTAGTCATGTCTTGTAACCCATAGTCTTGTTAGTGTGCACTTAAACTACACCTTAAAACTTTAGTAATACTATTCTAAATTAAGTTTCTCATTTATGGTAAGTACAAATACTTCCATGAGCTAATGATTTTCAACTACTTGCAAGTCTGACTGAACTAATAAAAAGAAATGACTCCCTTGAGCCAAGGTTAACTCCTGGATATGTCATGTTGTTTTCTTGGTAAAAATAAGATTTGCCATTGCCTTCTGGAAAACTGTTATTAACTTTCCAGCCTAACTTATAGTCCTGGTATTTCCTGAGAGTCTCCTATCCAACTAATAACCAGAAGTGATCCTGATCAGCTTTTTAGTAGCCAAGCTTGGTTTAGGTGTTATCACTTGCTGTAATTATAAACTAAGGGACTTGCAACTAGCAATCTGAAGTATCTATTTCCTAATGTACCAAAACTACAAGACCCCAAGAAAGATTTGTGAGTCCTATTTTTGCTTATTTTTAAAATGGTCCCATCAAATTTCTTCTGCATTTTAAAATTCTTTTTCAACTTGATAAAAAAGATAGCGATTTTGACTTGTTTTTCAAATATAAAACTTATGGATGGAATTAGGGATTCTTATACTTGTTTTAGTTACCAGTTAAGGTCCATGGGTAAATATCTTTATTATTATTTTAATCAATCTATGAAGCAACATCCTCTAGCACAGTTATAAAATGAGCTCAACTATGCTACTAAAATTAATCTAAAGAAAAAGAAAGATTCGGGGGGAAAACAAAAATCTTTTTCACAAGGGAAAAGGTCTTTGGGAAATTGGAAGACAAGATTTCAACACACTTTAGATCATTTTTATTTTGAAAGATTCTTTTTAGATGGTCCTTTGATATCATTTTAAATCCATGGTTATTCTACAGTTCTATATTCTACTATGTGTAGCAGCTCTTTCTTCATGAAAGGGAGCAGCTGTATCAGGGAGGCTATATGAAAAGCAACAGACACTGGCCTGTACAAAAAGGTTGAACTCTTGTTTGTACAAAGTAATACCAAGGTTATAATGTAACTGAGTAGACCAGAGTATCATCATTCTGTACTGGGCAACACACATCATGGCTGCCTTGGTTACCATTGTCATGGAGGTAATAAAGTACAATTTGGATTGGTTAAGGACCCACCAATCTGAATTGACAGTAAGAAAGTCAGTAAGAAAGATTATTGGTCAGAAACTCTGGCCAGAATTTTCAAACAAGAAAAGATAATTGCAGGGTATCAACTGAAATGCTGATAAGGGAAAATAAATGAGTTCTATGGATGAAGGGAGTGGGAAATCTGCTCCTCTTCTAAATACTCTACTGAGAAAAAAATTAAAATTCAAAACTAGTATCTAAGATGGCAAAAACTTGAAGCAAGCAGCAGGACCCATCTTCTGAAAGGTTTGAGAAGACACCTGACCAAAAAGAGCTTCAGCATATTAAGACCTGAAAAGGAAATCTCTCTAGAAGCCAGAGGCAATAAAAAGAGCTGAAAACAAAGGAAGAGTATTCTGCAGAGTCTATTCTAGTTATTTGGGATTTCAATAGGATGATGTTCAGAGAAACCTGATCTGAGGAAAACACCAGTCAGTCTTCAACTAGGGAAAATTATCTCAAGTAAGAGGAATGGAATTTGATCACATTAAATCTAAGTATAGTTAAGGAGTACTTACTATTTAAAATGTGTGCTTTATTCCCTCTTCTAAGTGTTTCCCCTAATAATCATTATAAATCTGTTTAGAAAGTTATCTATAGTGGGATCATCAGTCTCATGCCCATACCATAGGACCAGGCTCCTGAGGTTCTGCAAGCTTTAAAGAGTTTATGACATTAGCCAGGGTAGAGATTTGAAAACTGCATTCAAAATAGTAGTAGGAAGTTCCCCAAAACCGTGTTTCAAGATTCTAACAGAAAGAAAAATAACACAGGATTTCTCCGTTTGTGATAGTAATTGTGAGATTTTGCACAGCAATCTTTTACAGGTGATGATTAGACTGTGGTCATCTTTCACAGGGCCTAATCTGGGTCTTAAAAACAACCTGTCCATCAAAAGACCACTCCTCTAAGATTCCTAGAAGTTCTTCACCTGGAGTCCTTCTGGCTCACTAAGATTGATGACACATGAAAGAACTAGTAAAAAACAATTAGGATACAAGTTAGGAAGGCTGTGCAATTTTTCAAAGAGGTACACTGAGTTAAATAAGACTCAAGCAAAGCTGCTCCTCAAAGATACTCTGAGAATCAATGAAAGTCTTTTGCATCCAAGAGTGAATAGTCATACTGCTTCATTTCACTTCTTGACTTCACCAGCAATTCCAATAACTGGAGAAAAATTCTACACATGGACACATGGAAGAATCTTCCACCTATTAGAATGAGAACTGTATTGTCTCCTCCCCTTGTAGAGGAGAATCATGTGATGCAACTGAGGCAAAACCAGGTCCCTTCATACAGGCCTATTAACTTTTCTGTATGAAATAAGCAAAATTTAAAACTGATAATCTGGGCTGAGTTACATACAAAATATTGTTTCTCTCTCTTTTTTTTTTACCAGAACTAATTACTCACTTGGAATTCTCAAATATTCTGTTACTCTAGCACAGCTTATTCCTTGAGCTTCTGCTGCATAGTAGGTCATTTGTTTTATTTTTTGTAACAGATGCCTTAATTTTAAGCTTTTTTAAAAATCACAAAATAAATGTTCACAAAAACAATCATCTTAATATGTCCACATTTCCATGCCTTTTATTATTATTGCTGCACATTTTAATAGCATGCATATATCATTCACACTATAAAGTTATTTTCACTGTCTCATTTTTATATTTTGGTTTTCAATCCCTTTTTATATTTCTGTAACATTAGTCACTTTGAGAATTCTCTGAATGGAAAGGCAGGATGTATACTGAATAAACAAATATACTAATATACCATTTTTATAATATGGTTCCTCTGTGCTGGCATAAGAGATGGCCCCATTTTGTTATGGTAAAAATTGACCTATTTTAGATCTGGCCTATTTTAAAAAGATGCAAATAAAACCATTATTATTTCATTCTTCAAATTTCTCCTTTGAAATGGATGTTTAAATCTTTAATATTATGAACCAAAGCAAAGCATATAATTTCCCTGCAGCATTTGCAAAAAATGTTCAGCTACTGTAAATAGATGTTTACTTCTGAAAACAGATGTTGCTCATCAAACAACATTTAATATGTAAAGACAAAATACTTCATTACAGACAATTTTTGATTTTGCCAATTCCAGACTATAGTTGAGCTAATAATGTCTAGCATAAAATTACAGGCAGAATATAAAATTTATCTCAAAATGGATAATTTAGAAATCTAACCAGATTTGCCATTTCTGTGAGGCAAAATAAACAAGCTAATATAAGCTCAGCAAATTATGTCTTTTTTACATAAAATATGTTTGGGGCTGCTTTGTTGATACAGAAGCAAGATTAATAAATAATTCTACTCATGTGTACTCAGAAGTAAACTCTTAGTTAATTGTGCCCCCCCCCCAGGAATTATTCTAATACACATTTTTTTAAAAAAATCAATTACTCTTTAAAAGATTAAAATATTGTTCAAATAAACCCCTTTCACATGTCTGAAACCAATCCCACAACAGCAACATCTGTAATTTTATTTGTGCTGTGGGTATTCAGTAACAAAATGCACACACAATAAAATGCATTCTTTGCTTTCTTATATATCAATAGGTAATATATTGCAGAAATGTTGAAATTGCACCTAGAAACTAATAAAACTCCCAGAAGGAAAAATATCAGAGAACAAAGAACAAAAGGAGAGAGTGGGGGTGGGAATCCACTTACCAGGCATCTTTTCAACTGGTAGTAGAGTAACGCGTAAAGTCAAAGGGCATTCCTTAATACCACAACTCCCTCCTTATTTTTAGCAGGTCCTCCTCAGACAAAAAACAGCCAGTTGGGATTCGTTTTTTTATTTCCTGTTGAAGACAAGTGAATTAACATTGATATATTCTCCAGTGTTTCAGATTTAAGACTTTGACCACATACACTGTCCCTAAAATCTTTAGGACAGGAAAAGTAAAAAAAAACAAAAAAAAGATTTTTCTTTTCTAATTCCCTTGTGTTTTATAAGTCCCTAACCCTTCCCCTTCCTTTTGGGGGAAAAAAAGAGAAATCCTCAGAGGTTCAACACAAAGCAAAACTTAAGGCCACCCTAATGCATACACCCCTCCATTCCCTTTTGCCAGCAAAAGGAGGGTCCAACAAGTAGTTTCATGTTCCCTTCTTCAAATTCCCTAGCAAAATATTAACTATTTAAGAGACATAAGCATTCACTATTTATTTGCATTATAGGGTGGGAGGTAGTCAGTGAAAAGCAAAGGCCACTATTAACGAAGTTAAAATGATCATACAATAGCAGGACAATAGATTTATTTGGACTTCTGCTGACACAGGCATTTGTTCTTCAAAGATGATGCCATAACAAAAGTATAACTGTAAACATATTACATTTCAGCTATAAGGCATAATCCTATGCACATGGAATTGTAGGACAAAGAGCTCAGTGGACTTATTTCTGAATAAACACTTCCAAGACAGAAATATTCAGGTTGGGGGATAAATCTGCTTATCTGGATAAAAGGATCTAGTTTCGTGAGACAGGACTGTAGTCCTTCTTTAAAGACCAACTTCCTAATCCAAATGGTGGCTCTGAATACATTTTCTTTCAGCGGCATAATAGGTAAGGAATGTGGTTTACTAACTGCTATGTCCCATTCTTTGGAAGGTGGACTTATATTAGTTCTGCATATGCTAATCACTTTTTACTGTACAGTATTGCAATTTCACTGGGCCTGACTTAAAAGACAACCTGGAAACTTCAGCTCAAGTCCTTGTTGGGCTATCCCAATTGCAGCCATTTGCACGAGTTAACAAAACCCAGATTCTGACATGGTTTTGGACCAGGTTATTTGAAAGGCAGCCTAAACCTGCACAAAGTTTGTGGTCTGCTAAGATCTGAAGTGAATGTCCTACTCAGGGGTCTGCCATTAAAATTACCAAAATCCTTTCTCCGCATTGGTCCCTGCTCCATAGAATGTTCTCGCAAGAGTGACAGAGTTGGTTCCATCTTTTAATAGGATATATATTTTAGCTTAATGGTTCATAATTATATATTCCCCCTCCTCACAATTATATACACACGCTGCTTTCATTTAAATTTTTGGGTTGGCTGGCTTAACTGCTTCAGTTTACCTTTGTTTAAAACGGATGCATTTTTATAGATAGTCTTCATACTGAAGATCTTTGGGGAAGCTTAGGGATGCCTAAAATCGTTTGCTATCTTTAGGTTGCCATTAAACACATTAAAAACAAAAAAAACGTTTTCTGCAACAGGCAGACGCAAGCAGCCGTCTCTCCGGAATTGATTAACAGAGGTGAGATGACTCTTGGAAGTTGGCAAAAAAGAGAGAGGGAGGAAAAGTACTATTAGCAAAGCGTGGCTCTATCTTAAGACTCCAACGCGTTTTCTTCCTTGTAGGGAGACCCTCCTCAGCCAACCTGAGCCAAGCCTTCCTCCTCCTCTCTCCTCCTCCTCCTCCTCCCCTGCCCTGCCGCAGCACAATTCCTCCTCCCGCCCCTCGTGCAAGAACAAGCTGGCGTTCAAACACGCTCCCCTTCCTCCTTCCCAGTTCCAGTCAAGGTGCAACACCAACCGCGCCAAGGGAAGCCAAACTTGGGAGGCGACGCCGGGCTCCTGCGCCCTCTTCAAGTCCTCCAGCCGCCCTTGGGACTCCATACACAGCTGAGCCAACGAGCAGCTTCGCCTCGATCGCCGCCGCGGCCACCCGACAGGGCGACAGCAACCTTCGCTGCGCCAGCCCAAGGAGCGGGCGAGGCTTCCCCCTCATTGGCCCGGGCGGCGGCTCCTCCTCCGGCTGCGCGGCACCGATGCCCTGCGGTGTCAGTCACGGGGAGGAATTCTCGCGCCGCGCCAGACTCTTGCAGCAGGGCAGAGCGGTTCCTCTCGGTGGAAGGAGAAAGCAGCGGGGATCTCTCCCTATCCCAGCGTTTCTCAACCTTGGCACCTTAAAGACGTGTGGACTTCGATTCCCAGAATTCCCCAGCCACATGGGGGAATTCTGGGAGTTGAAATCCACAGTCTTCAAGTTGCCAAGGTTGAGAAACACTGCTCTACCCATACAAGGACAGAACCTATTTTCGGGAACCCATTCCTGATCAATTATTGTCCCTACTTTTGACTTTGTTTAATCTTTCACTGTAGTGCACTTTCTCTGAAGAATTTCACCTTACCCAGCCTCAAGCCTTCCAGGTGCGTTATGCATTTTCCATCATTTAAGAAATGAGGATGGGAGAGGGAGGCCAATAGATTGGGAGCCCTGTAATGCAAGACTTGAAAGGGGCATTTGGTCTCTAGTTCTGCAGGACCGTATGTTGCCCAAAATAAAATATGCATGATACCTAGCCTTTCCTCATTTGCACTCATTTGCAAGCATGCCCAGGCAACCTCTTTTCTGTTGTGTCCTTATGTTTTTGATCTGATCACCAGCCCATACCGGAAGCAGCTTTAAGTCATCCTTCACTGTACCAGTATTAAAATATTTTTTTCACTCTTACAAGACAACAGGTTTTGCCATGCAGTCTGATGCACTTCAACCATGTTGGTGATTTCAGGCTGATGTGGGTACACCCCTATCCCTCTGGTTCCTGGGCCCTGAACTTTCAAGGATCTCTCAGTTTGCTCTGGGCATCAGGAGAGTCCAGTTCTTTCAAACTGTGTTCTCCTCCATATCTGTGCTGTCTCTGCTGATTCCTAACTCTGGGTCACCCTGAACAGCCACTGACCAGCAATGGCTGCCTCAGGCCTGCAGAGTGAAGCAAGAGCGTTGGTCATTTTGCTGCTTCATGGCATAGCCCTCCTCGCATCCGTCAGCTTCTGATAGTCAGGCTTTTTTGCAACAAAGTTTAGCATTCTTTCAGAATAGCACTAAACCCATGTTGAGCTCCTTTCAAACACAAGTTTAGCACACTAAATTCATATCCCAAAAGAATTGTATTATTAGCCAATACTTAGATCCCCTTTGAACGTAATTTGCAAAACTTTTGTTCCAAAACTAGGTCACTCTAACCATCTGTCAAAATTCACTTAGTTCCTAGTCCCAAATACAGCCCATATTAAGTAGAGTGATATATGGATGTTTTCGTGTCAAATTTATCCACATCTGACTTAATTGTGGTTTATTGAATTAACATAATAGCCAAGTTACCCACACACTGAATCATAAAGTAATCACATAGGTTAGTTCTTCACAGCACATTTAGCTAAAATCTGGTTGATAGGTTTGTGAGTTCAGGTGTCATGTGAAAATACTTTAAGATTCCTTCAGATGGGACGCTCTCAGAGAAAAGGTAAATCAGGTTGAAACCCATTGACTGAGAAGTGAATCCAGAAGTAGGTAGCCCATGGCCCCAGGGCCGGATATGGCCCATGAGTCCCATTTTCATGGCCATCAACCATGAGGCCTGAAGGAACAGCTTCCTGTCATTTTCTGTTGGGAAATGAATATTGTAATAGAAACCACAAAATAGGCACATTACATTAAAAACAACAACCACCTCTCCAGTATCTAAGACCATGCACATCTGTAATCTGGCCACATCCGTTTTGTGGCCTGCAAACCTCCCTCCAAAACACTGTGGAGCTCTAACTACCAAAAGATCCTCCGCTCCAGTTTGACTTTCATGTTCCATTAACATTTCTCAACAGCTAACACCTGCTTATTGCTTCTCTCCCCACTGTATACGTGTGCATGTGCACCTGCAATATGTTGTTAAAAGTAACATTTCTTTCCCAAGAGCTAAGGGTCCTATCCAATCTGAGGAAATCAGCTCACCCTTCAGATATAATTTGATTCTGAGGCACCAAGCAGTTTGCTGCCATCATTCCACAGGTGACAACATTTGACCTCGTTTTTTTAATTATAGACTCATCATTATAGAAAAACCACAGCAAGTTGCCTTAAGGCAACGGTAGCCAGAGTCATGATTTCTACACAGTAATACTAAAAGCCCAAGATACACACAGAAGGTAAATGCATAGGAATATTTCTGACATCTTCCAGTTAAGCATGATGTAACCCAGTGTTGTCCAAACTTAG